TCGTGCCTTACTCGTCCTTCGTCCAGGTGTCTTCCAAAGGTGAGTCCTGCACTCAAAACGTCCCGCCCGTGGCCCGGCTGCTTGCGGAGCGGCACTTTGTTGCCACGGAGACGGAGGCAAATACCCGCGGGGGGAACCTCTCTACAAGAGACTTTGCATACTTCTCATCCTACTTTTAGAGTGTCAGCTCACATTTGCTTTGGGTATTTTTCAACTCCCGCCGCTCTTCTCCAACCCCCCCCTCCCCTCCCCTCCCCCCACCTCCCATTATCTTTCCAGACTATGCGATCCATACTTGTGGAGTTGATATTATCTCCAGCCTGCCGTCCGAGCCGCCACAACACTCGTCACCGGTCACTGTCTCCCCCGTCGCACACATGCACACCTCCCTCCAGCCCCCTCCTGGAGCCCAGCAGAGCTTTATCACCCTCAATCCCCCTCTAGCTTTCTCTCTCGGTGGGGAGGAGTACTCCCTGAGCCTGACCGACAAGGAGGGCATCAGTAACCACTTCTCTTGTTTTGACCCGGACCAGACCACCCCAGATATGCCCCTTCTCTGAGCAGCCGCTTTTGGGAATTTAATCATTTTGGAGGCACTTGCCCTCCCCCCCTCCCCCTCTCTACAAAACGGAGAATCAAGGGACCACATGTAAGAACAGGAGGCTAGATTTTCCCTCTTTTTTAAAATACCCGTTTTCCCTGTGGGACAATGTGCCTGGGACTTACTGATGCTCAGGTATGTGGAGGACTGAGAGCTTTTTAATGGCTTCCTTGCTGTTTTCTTTAGAACTCGGACTGCTGTTTTTATTTTAATCTGCTGTGTAGTCGGCCGTGTGTCCTCCTCCAGGTTCTGAGCATGGCTGTCTCAACGCACGACTTATTCTGGAAAGAGGACGTTTTGTATGATCATGTAGGAGCCTTCGTAACAAAGCCCGGTGATTTCGACACTCATTTAGTGTCGATTAACAGCATTAAAAATGCAAAAGAACCCCTGTGTCTCGTCTCGACTCAATGGCCGCACCTCGTTTGTTGTAACGTAGCGCTAAAAAGTGACTTTCTGCCATCAACGCCTGAGTGAAGCTAAAGGAGTTTTAGAACGTCAAGGCGACACCGGCATTGTCCTCCGTAAGATTCCCAGTCGATGGGACGTCTCCAGTGGTGGCTGCATATTCGGGGCCTTTCCAGTACATTTTACCACTGGGGGGGGATTCAGTCGTTGGGAGTGTTGTGCTCTTACATTTGCTGCACCGACCTTCAGATGGGCTCACTGGAGATCTTCACGGACGCCTCATCATCCCTTTGAAATACCGGTGGCTTGTAAATTAAGATGTTTGCGTTCTTCACTCTTTTCCATATTATTATTTTATCATGGTAGTGTGTTTGGTAACTGAGGGAGGTGTTTTCTTTAGCTGATGTGTTCCGTCTTAAATCATATAAAGGAAGAAAATGACAAATTATGAAGAAAATGTTTATTACAGATGTCACTGCAGAGCTGCCTCATGCATTTGAATATTCCAGCTAGAACAGATGAGTGGACGTCCCGCCTGTGACCTCAGTGACGTCCAGCTGACTGTTGCGACATACGAGGAGCCACCAGGAGGCGCTGTGCTCCCACAGAAGCCCTGCGCCCCCGTCACACGGTGGAGGTGTTTTGTGACTAAAGTGTTCCCGTCTCTTTCTTTCTGGATCTGCCATAAATGGACTTGAGACTTAACAGCGCTGCACTCGGTGGTACTTTCTTTGACCTCCACGTCGAAGGAGGACAAACTAAAATGTTTACGTTTTCAAAATCCACGTGTGGGGCTTCGTTTCCCAAACAAACCCTCCCGTGAGAGTGAAGTCTGAACGTTTCTTGGTGTGGCCTCTGGGGGAGCGATGCGTTGAGACGGAAGGTCACGTCCGCCCGCCGAAGGGAAGAATCTGAAATTGAGTCGTTGTGTGAAGCCGCAATGTAGAACATTTAGAGAAATAAACGGTTTGACTGACACCTGCTGACCTGATTACCAATCCAATCTGCATTTTTAATAGATCAATGTATCTAGTAGGGTTTAGAAAGAAATGGTGGTTCTATCCGTTAGGCTGCTGTCATGAGGGCAAGTTGGATTGAAATGTATCATGTGGCTATAATCTGGTTGTTTGGGAACTATCCCAGATGTCATTTATTGATTAAATCGTCTTAAGTCATCTGGGTGTGTGATTTAAAACTCGCCCACGTGAACGTCTTCCTTCCTGTATATTTATGTATCTTTTCTCGCTCCATCCCTGCTTCTCTTTGTCTGAGCCTCAGCATCCTTCAGGAAAACACACCAGTGCCCTCAACATGATGATGTAATCGCTTAGGGGGGGGGGGGCAGCCTTATCCGCACCCGCCCTTAGATGGGGTGTTGCTCCTCGAACACCCCCAAAGAAACCATTTAACCCAGTTCCCCACACCCGGAGGTCACGGGGAGTCACTGGATCACCCCTGCCGTTGATTCATGTGTTTCTTTTTCTTTCTGCCACCAAAAACTGCCCCTTGAGGGGGGGGGGGGGGGGGTACTTGGAGCGAGTGCAGGTGTATGTCGAGGGTCTCGTCCAGCTTCGCTCCCTGAAACCCTGTTTCTCCGCTGCGCTCTGCAGCCCGGCTGCTGTTTAGACTGCTGCAATGGGAGAGTGAGTGAGCGAGGGTTAAAGAGGACGCATGCTGGAGCGAGCGAGAGAGTACTACTCGCTTCTCATTGGCCACCGAAAGCACGCCGTCTTATTGCGCGCCGGCGCTCCCAGCCAATCGGCTGCCTCCAGCGATTTGTTTTGGGTTTCTGAATGAAGGGAGTAGTGAGAGGAGAGCAGGACAGCAGGCGGTTTGATTCGTCGCTCTCCCCGCCCCGCGGGCTCGCAACGGCGCCGCCTTCCCATTTCCCATTGCCCGCCCCCCTTCCCGGGGACCCGCGGACGCACCTCCACCTGTGTGCGGAACGTTCTGGCGCCGGCAGGAAGAAGAGCGGCTTGGGTTCAGCCGTTTTCTTATGCTCTCAGCAGAGCGTGCAAGTGAGTCGGCTTCCGTCGTCTGGAAGTCAATGTCTCTTTATTTCTGAATGGGATGACGGTTTCGTTCTCTCGTCGTCGGGTCGTTCGCGGCGTCCTCGGGGTTCGCTTCTTAGGATTGTTCACCTTTTTGTTTGGTGAAGCCAGAGTTCACTCAGGACTCGTGAACACTTTTTGTGGAGCAGTTTATTCTCTGACAACAGGGGTGCAGTGGGGGTGGAACTCGTCCACAAATACGCCGTTTCAAAAGAAAGTGTCACATTCTTTCTTCTCCTCAGTAATTACTCTTATCCTTCTCGCCATCTGCCGCGCACCGGTAGCACGAGTCAACAATGCTCAGACTGATCTCAGGTAACCTCCGTGTGACTCACGGAGACGTGGACCTCAGCAGGACAAGAGGCCGCCCGGGCGGCTGAGAAACGTTTGACGTGTGAGATCTGAACCCGCAACACAAAAGTGCGCGCTGCAGAAGCCGCCGACCTTTTGCGGAGGGCGGCGAGGGAAGAATTAACGGCCTGCGGCGTGCTTTTCCCCCCCGGAGCTTCTCCGTGCGAAGGTCTGACCTCGTCGCCGGGGGGCGTCGTCCTCGGCGTCGCCCTTCTCGTTGCTGCGACTGCGAACAGATGCCGTATTTATTTATGTGCTTCCAGAGGCCTCCGCGTCAGAAGTGAATGCATGGAAGGCTTCAGCTGCAGTCATGTTGGCCTCCTGCTGGCC